AACGGGACTTTGTTCCCCTGACATATACCAGCGTTTGTTTAGAATGTTCTTAAAGTACTGTGATATTGTTATTTGCTTGACGAAGGATTGTATTTTTCCCTAATACATATGCATTACTATAAATAATTATTTACATTAATAGGATTTTTTATTTATACTTTTAAAATCAGCTTTTACTTTTTCTTAGATTTTTTTTCCTTCTTTATGGGAAAATCTATCCATTTTAAGGGAAAGTAATCTTAAAGTTGTTGATGTATCGTTACGCGTTAGGTCACTGTAAATAAGTTTTGAGTAGTCTTATTCCTATTTTGTTACGTAGTCATCTCTACTTAGTAGCATCTGCTTGGCTCTCGTGTCCCTCCCTTTTGCTTTGGGCTGAATGTTGTTTGGAAAGCAGCCAATTAAATGTTGCCTTTCCATTATAAACACTAGAAGCGGTGCTCGCGAGGGGCACTCTATCTATACAAATGCATTACAGCAGTACCTTGATCGTTGCGGCGTTGTCCATAGAAAGGTACTAGTCCCTGAGTACGATGTCAACCACGCCATTTATGATCACCTTCAGCAAGCTGATTGTTTGGTTGTATGTGGCGGCGACGGCACGGTCTCAAGCGTCGCTAACGCATTGGGTGTAACGCAACATGAGGAACTTCTCCAAAAACCTATCGTTGTCATACCCGCGGGTCTACAGAACAGCATTGCACGTTCTTTTGGTGTAATATCGGCTGAGCTATCACTGTCAAGCCTTATTACGGGACGCACGAACGCAGTGCCGCTGTGGGAAGTGCGTGTGAATACAGCACCGTCGGTGGTACGCTATGTATGCTCCTACGTGGCAGTGGGTGCGTACGCCAGCATCGTGCAACGCTTTCAGAGTCTCAACAAAGTCGGTGACAATTATTTCGCGCTCCCAATGTTAAATCACAAGTTCAGAGCCGCTGCGTTGTGCACAGCCCTAAAACGCGAAATGGTACCCTGCGCACTGAATCTGAAAATGCATGCGAGTTCGCCGCCTTCTCGAGAAGCTAGAAATTCAAAAAGCGGTAGGGTTGATGAAATGCATTACAGCGAACCCCTGTGGTTACTTATCGCAGCACAGATGCCCCTTCAGCACAGTGGTTACTCCCTGACTCCGTGCGCCACATACAAGCGGGGGACGTTGAGCGCAACGATTGTCACGCCCAAAGCGACGCGTATGCGTATGTGGCACCTACTGAGTCGTGAAGCCAAAGAAGGACACGTGCTGGAGGAAGACGGAGTGCACGTTCACCAAGACGTCACGTGCCTGCAAATTCATTACGACTCCGCCCTTTACGGTGGTGACCGGGCTTGTCGAGGGAACTTAAAAAAGGTCAACTGGAGTGGCCCTGGAAGTCTCGGTGAGTTCTCAGAAGGGGACTTCGAGCACCCTTTGCTTTTAATGTTAGATGGTGAAGAGACATGGGTGCTGCCTGGGTCAACGGTGACCATTCAGAAGTCCACGCGCTCGTTGAACTTTCTTGTGTGCTAAAGACAAATAGGTGGTCAAGCGGAAAAATTCATTTACAGTTGATGTGGATGCGCATAAAATGATTTACCAGACACTTCAAGAACGTGTGTGTGTAAATTGAAGGACGTTATGCGGCATGAGCTTCAGCAAACCGCTCATGCCGCCCGCTATACTTTTATTGTGCATCTGAGGGTGACAACAATGATTCAACGCGTTTTTTTCTGTCTTTTTTTATTAGAGCCTTACAAAAGGAAAAACTCAACGGAAAGTGAAGGGGATCAATAAGGCTGTCCTTTTGTTTTCTTAGCTGATTCATCGATTTGGTCTCCCCTCAACTTATGCTTCACACAGATCCTAAGACAGGAGGTGAGTCTCCACCACGGCGTCGTTTTCACCATGACTACGATGCAGAGGAATACGCCCCTCGCGTCAAAATTCATGGTCAACGTCCGGTAGACTTCTACTCAACTGCCATTCACTACGTTCAGGAGCGGCACCTACACAAACGCACACCTTATGGGTATCACGTGCCGCCACATGAATACTACACCAAAGACCTCCTTGCCTGTACAGAGACTAGCTTCAACCCATCCACTGCATTATGCACGCAGTGGGCGAGCACCTCTTTTCATCCAGATGCACGGTCTAGTAGGGTGCGAGTTCCGCTTTACGCCCTTCAGTGGGCCGCAAACGGCCGCCGTTTGTTGTGCTCAACAGGACGCGGCGAGTTCTTGCTCTTCAATGGCCGTTCCTTTGGCCTGGAGGTAAAAACGGTGGCTCATGAAGATAGACACCCGTGCCGTGCCCTCGCGTGGGGTGGACGCACCGACGTGATTCTCAGCGGTGATGATGCTGGCAAGATGAAGGTTTGGCGGTCTAACTTTGTGCTCATGGCGGAGTTCGACTCAAATCATCGTGCCGTGCGAGAAATCACGTGGGCCCCGCTCGAAGCGAAGTTCTGCAGTTCGGGGCAGGATGGCACCGCGCGGATCTGGGATACCCAGACGGTTGGTTCTCGCGGCGCCACAGAGCAGCCGGCGCGAGAGGAGGTGAAGCTGGAGGGCCATGGTGGTGACGTGACCACTGCGCACTGGCACCCATACCGCTCCCTCATCGCGACAGGGAGCCAAGACATGCAATGCCGGCTTTGGGACCCGCGGACGGCGGCCCGCGGCAGCATCGCGGCCCTCTGCGGCCATAGTCAACCCGTGACCCGCGTGCGATGGCATCCCGACGGCCGAACGCTGCTGAGCGCATCGAAGGACGGAACCATTAAGCTCTGGGACATCCGAAAGACGCAGCCGGAGCTGATCCGCTTCAAGGGTCATAGCGACAGTGTGGACCACATTGAGTGGCATCCGGTGGTGCCTGACCTTTTTGCCAGCTGTGGTGCCGATGGGCGTATTATGTACTGGATGGTAGATGAAAGTGACGGCATCCTAACGCACGGTGTGCTAGAAGCCATCAAGGATGCTGCCACGATTGAGGCCGCGCATGATCGGTTTAGAGAGAAGGCAAACCCAGTCTTCACATTGGCGTGGTGCCCATTGGGAAACTTGTTGGCATCATGCAGGACAGAGGTAAAGTACTGGAGTCGTAATAAGCCTGGCGCGCTTGAGGAGAAAGAGCGGGGCGCAGAAGATGAGGATGTCTTAGAGGATGACGCAAATGTGGTGTGATGGGAAAGGTGCATCCTCTCCTCTGTTACCACCGTAAAGGGAATATATTTCTTTTCTAAGTGTTTAGAAATTCGGCTTTAAATCTGGGGACAAAGAAAAGCATGATTTCTCTTGCAGCATGTCATCAAAGGGGAACGTGTGTTCACAGCCTCTCTGTACAGAATGAATAAAATATCACCTCATTACTACCCACTTGATAGCTCACTAAAAGGAATATCTAAAACGAATCAAATGGATCGGATTGTAGGGATTCTACAGTACACCCATCTATCTCCAAATGAGTTTACCAAAGGATCTACCTTGGGTGTAGAGCAGTCGCATCACCGTTGGGTCACTTGGTCCATAACAGAAGTATTGTATCGCCTGCACGACCCTTTTAGCTTTGTGTTCGGTATCAGTGCTTTTCTCCCCATATTCATCATGATTTTCCTTTCTGGACTTGCAAGTGCGCCTTCCACAAAACGGATACCAGCCCTAGTGCTTCTCCTTGGGCTGGTTTTGGACGCTGGGCTAAACGTCGTCATAAAGAAAGTGGTACGTAGCCCGCGTCCAGCGCACCCTGCCGCAGTGTACAGTATTATCCAAGGTATGCCCAGCAGCCACGCTCAATTTATATGTTTCTTTCTCATGTATTTACTCTGCAACCGCAGGTCTGAATCAGCGGTGTGTGTACTTGGTAGCCCTGCGTCTGTCAAGCGGGACAACTTAAGAAAAGAATCTCAAAAAGATGAAAAGGACTTCGCGGCACCAATAAATTTAATGAAATCAAAGACCTCGGAAAAGCCTTCGGTGAATCTAAAGCTTTT